CCTGTGTAAGTCCATGTTCTCTAAAACACAGTACAGGTACCTTGCAGAAACACAGAAAGGATGCTGGGTGTGTGCTTATTATCTCAGTCTGCCTTTTTATTATGACTATCCTTACCATATGCTGTTTTGGTTGCTTAAAATCATTTTTTTTCCACAAATGATGTCAGTATGATGGCCTTTTGATGTGGATCACTGATTTTTATCATCTAATTACCATGTGGAGTAGGAATGGCTGAAAAAGAAGAAGCAACCAGCCCAAGGTTACTAATGAAATTCATCCCTGGCCTGGCCCCACATTTTTACCATTGAATCATTAATTCATATAAATACAGGCAATCCTTTTCTTTGACAGAGAACCTGCAGATTTGCATCCAGTTCAACCTGGGCCTCTGCTTCAAAAATATAAAGCTACCCAAGACATTTAGATAGTGAATTCCACCCATTAACTGTCTGCTGTATGAAAACTTATTTACTTGACTTGACCTTAGCATTCTCATAATTCTGCTTCCCCAGGGCCAAAACTTCTCCGAATCTCATTTTCACCTTTTATCTTCTAAGCATGTCATGAGTTCTTTTCTTCTTGCATCTCTTTCAGGCGATGACACTTATGGAGTACCTAATAAAGACAGGTTCAGAGCGGGTTGCCCAGCAGTGTAAGGAAAATATATATGCCATCCAGACATTAAAAGATTTTCAGTACGTTGACCGGGATGGCAAAGATCAAGGGGTCAACGTACGGGAGAAGGCCAAGCAGCTGGTGGCCCTCCTTAAAGACGATGAGCGTCTCAAAGAAGAGCGGGTCCACGCCCTCAAAACTAAGGAGAAGCTGGCCCAGACTGCAACTGGTAAGTGTTCTGGGCCTTGATCTAGTTATCCAAATCTACATCTCTCCTCTCCAGGTGATTCTTCTTTGGTATAATGAGATTTTGCCTATGTATTTCATAAGGTAGGATATAACCACATTATTCCTTTGCATGATGGGAAGAATAATTATTAAATAGCAAAGCTCTCAATCATACATTGGACATAAAAAAGGAGAGAGATTTTCCTTTGAGTTCACCATATTTAATTTGTATGTGGTCTCTAGGATGCTGCAATTATCTTTAACTCTTTGGGTAGAAGTGATAACACAGGTATTCCTTGTTTAATGACTGCCTTGTACAGGTTTTCCTCAACTTATAGCTATAATCGAGCCCAGAATTATGGTCATAAGTCATGCTGGTGGTTAAGCAGGTCATCTTTTGAGTGACCCCATTTTATGACATTTTTTGCAGCAGTTGCTAAGCAGATCACCATGCTAGTTAAGCAAATCAGTGGGCATTAAGAGAATGCTGTAGTCAGTAAACAAACCCCTTGTCTGCAATGAGAGGTTTTTTTGCTTGAGACTGGAAGTAAGCACCCATTGTAAATTGTGGTCACGTGACTGCAGAATGCTGCAAATGGCTGTAAATTCAGGCCAGTTGCTGAGCACCCAAAATGTGATCATGTGACCATGGGGAGTGGCCATCAGAACTTCAAATCCAGGTCGTAAGTACCTTTTTTTGGAATCCGTTGTAACTCCAAATGGTTGTTAAGTGAATGGTCGTAAGTTGAGGCTATCTATACAACATTCGTGCACAGTTATGACAACGATGAAAAAGTAATTTTGTGACCAATCCTCACATTTACAATCTTTGCACATCTATAGGCAAAGGAAAGCTGAGATAAGATTGTAAGCACAGTCACAGTTTCACTTAGCAATCACTTCACTTAATGACCCAGTTGCTGGTCCCAGTTGTAGTCGCTAAACAAGGATTACCTGTATAACGGCCTGAAGGCCAGAGCCATCACCCAGAGCATTCTTTTTTTTTTAAATGAAAATTTTAAAAAACAAACTTTTACAAATATTTACTTCCCTCCCCCCCCCCCCCCCCCC